CGGAAGTCTGTTGTATGGGACAGGGCTGGGACTGGGGACAGCAGGGAGGGACAGATGCAGGTGAGGTTGTCCCCACTGTCCTGGGTGAGCCCTACAGGGGAAAGCAAGGCTTACAGGGGATGCTCCTTCAGGGGAAAGCAGCACTAAAAGCACCCTGGCTCCAGATGAGTGGGGAACCATCCCTATAAACATATTTTGGATTAAAAAAAAAAATCTGGACATTTCAAAGGCAGGACATGTGATGATCTGATTAAAATTGTAGGTGTGTGAAAAAAAAACACAATGTTGCCGAAACCGGTTTGGCTCAGTGGATAGAGCATCGGACTGCGGACTGAAAGGTCCCAGGTTCGATTCCGGTCAAGGGCATGTACCTGGGTTGCGGGCACATCCCCAGTAGGAGGTGTGCAGGAGGCAGCTGATCGCTCTCTCTCTCATCGATGTTTCTAAACTCTCTATCTCTCTCCCTTTCTCTCTGTAAAAAATCAATAAAATATATTAAAAAAACAAAAACAAAAACAAAACAATGTTGAAAAAAGGGGTGGGGGGAGGAGCTCTGCAACTTCCTAGCTCTGGGATCTTGGACCAATCACATTGCCACCTTGTGCCTCATTATTCTCACCTGTAAAATGGGAGAACTAATCCATCGCAGGATTACTGAGAATGAAGAGAGCGGAGCCTTTTGGAACACTGCCTGGCACTCAGGAGGTGCTCCGTCAGTGTTAGTGACTGCAGTCTAGGAAGGAGACAGACACCTGGAAAGGGATTTGTTCAGCCTTGGCCTCCACACAATGCCTTACACCCAGAGCACCCTACAGCAGACCTTGCAGAACTCCCTAAAAGCGGACCCCACCCCACCCCGTGGCCTTCTCCACTGGGCCTACCCACACCAGCCACCAGGTCACCGAAGGCCCTTTGTCTTCTGCAGACAGAAGTGGAGACTTCAACATCTGGGCTGACTGCCACTTGCTACACAGCACCCTTGGGCAAGCTGCTTTCTCAATGTCCCCAAGCTTCTGCTTTCTCACTTGTAAAAACAGAAACACCAAAACCCACCCACTAGGGTTGTTGTGGGGACTGTGCCGGGCACCCGGTTGGTCCTTCCTCCAGTGGACAGATGTGTGCAGACCTGCCCCTCCCTCTCACCCTTGCCCTGCCCATCACCACCAAGCTGATTGGAGAGCAAGAGCCACCACATTCCTGGGTTCCTGGCCTCCCTGGCTCTAACCCAAACCTTGAACCAGAGTCACACCTTCTGTGAAGACCAGCCGGAGAGCCCCATCCCTGGCTGCCCGAGTCAGGGTTCGGCAGGAACTTCTGTCCCTGTCACAGCTCCCTGCCAGAGTGACTGACCTGAGTCCTAAAGTGACCCCCACAGGAGCAGACATCGGCAGCCTGAGCACTAGGCAAAGGCCTCCGCCTGCTGGGGGCTGGGATGGGGTGGTAGGTGGGATCCCCACCCCATTTCTGTCTCCATCTTTAGGCTTGTGGTTGATCATTCAACTTCCTCACTGGCACAGTGAAAGGGGGATGTGTGAAGATAGATAGATAGGGGTAGGGAGTGGCTAGGGTCAAGCGGCTGACCTGGCTGACCTGTGGCAGGGCCACAATCCAGTCCCAGCCTGGAGGGCAGAGCCCTCCTTGCATAATTAAGCCTGACCTTGTAGCCCTCCCTAATTCCTTCCTAAGTAGCTAATGGGCTGTGGGAGGTGCAGCAAGTGTTGCCAAAACAAGAACCTTTGTATACATGCTAATCTACCCTTGTTTTAATCAGACTATAAAATAAAGCGTCTGCCCTAACTGGTTTGGCTCAGTGGATAGAGCGTCAGCCTAGGGACTGAAGGGTCCCAGGTTCGATTCCGGTTAAGGGCATGTACCTTAGTTGCAGGCACCTCCCCAGTAGGGGGGGTGCAGGAGAAAGCTGATCGATGTTTCTAACTCTATCCCTCTCCCTTCCTCTCTGTAAAAAATCAATAAAATATATTTTTAAAAAATAAAATAAAATAAAGCATCTGCTTGCAGGCTGGGTCTTCTGTGTCCTCATCCAGGCATGGGAGATCCACCGAGCCCCAGCTGTATTCTCTTTGTCTGTCTTCTTTAATCCTTCACCGCCCCTCCTCAGGTTCACCCTTGGCCGTGCTGGCATGGCACAGATAGGATTGTGTCCTGGAAGAACTGGGGGTACTCCCACAGAAGCCTTTCCCCACAGTTTCTGAGGACTTCAGTGTTCCCATCGCTGGAGGCAGAGCTGAGCAGTAAGAACTCACTCACCATGGGTGGCAACAAAGTCATCGGCCCCACCCGTTCCCCACCCGATCAGAAACAAGGTGAAAATGAATGGCTGCTAATTGCATCCAAGCCTCAGCATTTGAATCTAGTTGGGGGGGGGGGGGGAGGATGACCCTGGGCAAGTCATTTGATCTGAATCTCATTTCCCTGTTGTAAAACGGGTCCGGGGAGTGACTCATTAGTGTGAAGATGAAATGGAAAGCAGCAGCAGATTATTTTATTATTATTATTCAACAAATATCCAAGACCTACTGTGTGCAGGGTCTATATGCTAGGGACTAGGAGGACATTAATAAATAAAACACCCCGGCCGGTGTGATGGTTGCACGTCGTCCCATGCACCGAGAAGTTACCGATTCGATGTTCTGCTCTCACAGCCATCTTTCTCTTTCCCTCTCCCTTCCCCTCTTTCTAAAAACCCTTCCTCTCTCTCTCAAAATCAATAAGCCTGGCCAGCATGGCTCAGTGGTTGAGTGTCGACCTATGAACCAGGAGGTCGTGGTTTGATTCCCCGTCAGGACCCATGCCTGGGTTGTGGGCTCAATCCCCAGTGAGGGTGTGCAGGAGGCAGCCAATCAATGATTCTCTCTCACCACTGATATTTCTCTCTCTCTCTCTCTCTCTCTCTCTCTCCTCCCTTCCTCTCTGAAATGAATTAAAAAAAATTAATTTAAAAATCAATTTAAAAATAAATAAATAAAACATGCTCTCCACCCTCGTGTTGCTTACACCCTGGTAGGGGTGACATTGATTGTGAGGGATGGTGTAGGTAACAGTGAAGGCAACCAGCTTGGAAGCCCAGCTGTATCATTTACCAGCGGGGTGACCCTGAGTCACCTCAATTCTCTGTGCCTTCATTCCTCAACAATAAAATGAGCCATACACCCAGGTCATAGGATGTGAGGATTACATGAGTGGAAACATGGGAAAATACCGTATGTATAGCACCTACCATGTGCTCCGGCAGCACACACATGACGAGTGCACTAAAAGGAGCTGTGGGATTACTGGGCAAGAGATGATGTCGAGGCTGAGCGACACCAGCAAATGGGACAGGCACGTTCTGAAGAGGGTGGTCCCCGGGAGAGAGCAGGGTGTACTGGGAGCTGGAGGAAAGGGTGAGGGGTAAAGACAGGGCTCAGAGGAAGTGAACCAGCAAGTGTTTCAGCGGCTGGGACCCTGGAGTTGCTGTCAAGGGTTTGAAGGATCAGGTTGGCAGCTTTAAAGCACTTGTTCCCCTTTGTGTGTGTGGAAACGAGACAGATTAGTAAATCCTATCTTCCCTGAACCCAGAGGAGACGGCAGAAATCCAAGTAGCGCTACTGCCAACCACACCCAAGGACAGATGAAGAGAACGGACCTCATTTTAGTCCATCGGCATAAAGCTGGTGACCATTCTGTAGAGATGCTCCCTAAGACCTTCCCTGAACGCCCAGCCTTTCAAACCCCTCAAAAAGAGGGTCTTGCCTCCAGCGCTACCTTCCAGGGGCACGCCAGCCCCTTCCTCCTTCTCCCCCTCCCCCTCCCCCTCCTCCTCCTCCTCCCCGACCCCTCCCGGCAGGCATGCATCTACTAACTCTAATAGTCCCAGCAGCCTTGCAATCAGGGCTGCAATGGGCAGCGGCAGTTCATCCCCTGAGAACCACCCGCACTTGTCCCCAAGGCCCCCTTTTCTCTTTTTGGTGAGTCAACGCAGACCAGCCTAGAACCATTTCCCAGCCTTCCTTGTCTCGCTGCCCCCAGCTTTAATAACTGTCCTCTAGAGTCACCCAGACTCGCGCTAAGAAATGTTTCCTGCACGAAGTCAAGAACGCACACACGACCGTCTGGCCCTAGGCAGACCCGCTCAGGGCCAGGTACCCTTTCCAGCAACAGAACTATGACACACATGTGCCCTGTTCATGACCGTAGCCCCCGCCCCTGGCACACGGAGATCAGGGCAACCCCCTGCAGACCCTCACTTCCTCTGGTTTCCAGCCCCGTGGCTTCCAGATCGCCTGGGGCCTTTAACTTTGCTGGCTGTCTTCAAGGAGTGGAGCAGGGGAGACGGAGGGAGGACTGACGGTAGAACCGGGCTGGGGGCACCTGCGTGCTCCCCCCTCACACAGCCCCTTTGTGATCCCATGAGTCAGGTGTGCATGGACTTGAACGCAGGCAAAGATTTCTCCTGAGGGTTGAGAACGTTCAGCCACGAGTGCGGCGACCAAGTCCGGCGCCCTGTTCGCAGTACGTTCGCAATAACTATAAGCTTCACCTCTTTCCTCTCGAAACAGGATCTTCGCTCCTCGCCACCGGCTGGGAGGGCAGAAGGCGGGTGTGGGGAGGCGGCTGGGCGCAGACTCTGAGGAAGCAAAGAAGGTGGGTGTTTCGGTTGCAGCAGCCCTGGCCAAGGGCACGCTATTCGGTCCGCAGGCCCCCCTCTCCGTAACCTGCAGCCGGGATGGGGCGCCGTGACTCCGCCCGGGGGCAGAGGGCCGCGCGCTGCGCGCACGTGGGAGAGGAACACGGGAGCTGCGGAGCTGGAGGTGGGGGTGCATCCCGGCACATCTCCGGGATCCCCGCCCTGGGCGGAGTAGCAAGCCCGCAGCCTTGGCACCCCAGGGCACGGGGGCGGGGCTTACGCAGGACCGTGCGTCCACTCCCACGAGGGTGCCCCCACCCACGTCCCTACCCTTCCCCGCGGCACCCAATCCCACCCGAGCGGGCGCTCCCGGAGCCTCCGGGGCAGCCGCGGGGCGGGGCCCGCCCCTTTTCATGTGCGCCGGCGCCGCTGTGATTGGACGGCCGCTTGTGACGTGCGGGGACTGCGGTGGCCCGGGCGCTGCGGCAGCCGCAGAGCCAGCGCGGCTCGGGCTCCGGCTCCCGGGCATTTAAAGGGGACGCGCGGCGGCCCGGGCTGGGGGGATGGAAGGCAGGTGGAGGGGACGGCCCAGACGCACATCACCCACGGCCCCTCCGGACCGGAGGCACTCGTGAGCCGCAGCCCAGAAACCCGAGGGTGGATGAGACACCGCGTCCCCTCCAGCTCCCGCAAGCACCCCCAGCTCCATCCTGCGCCCCAATACCGCCGCGAGCCCCTCTCTCCACTCTCTGCGCTTCAAACTCAGCCGGGACAGACTTCCGCCGCCGCCGCCGCTCCGCACGTGAGTCCTGGGTTCCCCGCGGTCGAGGAGGGCTGGGGTCCGAGGGCGGAGTGGGGGCCGTGTAGAGTTTGAGGGCGCTCCTGCACGCGGGTGTCAGTGGGGGAGCCCCTGGAACAGAGGAACGCGTCCCTCTGCCTCCTGCCCCAGGAACGTGCTGTGATGCCCGGGTGTATCCGCCGTCCCGACTCGGTCAAAGCGAAAGAATCGGTGCCCCCTTGCTCCCCGCCATCCGCTGGCCCCTTCAGCTCCCTGAGCTGCGCACCCTCCGCCCCGCATTGGAGGGAAAAGCCCGCCAGCTGGGGGGGTGCCAGAGTGCCTGCCTTGCAGCCACCTCTAAAAATATCTACCCCCCCCCCCCTTCCACCCGGCAGCTGCCACCTCCCTGCCCAAGGAGGATCCCTCCCGCAGGGCAAGCCCAGAGGTGATTCCAGGTCCCGCGTCTTCACCGGCACCAGGGTCCGGGTCAGCGCCTGCAGCCAGTAGGGCAGGAAGCTCCTAGGCCAAGGGGGGTGGGGGGGGGGCTCCAGGGCAACAAGGGAAGCTCTGGCTGCAATTTTAATATATGTGACTTTTATTGATGTTTAGAGAGGAAGGGAGAGGGATCAACAGAAACATCATCTATTGGCTGCCTTCTGCACGCCCCCTACTGGGGATCCAGCGGACAACCCAGGCATGTGCCGGGCACAGGAATCTAACCAGTGATCTTTTGGTGCATGAGTCTGCGCTCAACCACTGAGCCACACTAGCCCGGCATCAGGCTGCGATTTTGTTGTTGTTCATCCTCACCCAAGGATTTTTAGACAGTGGGAGGGGGAGAGGCACAGTGAGAGAAACATCGATGTGAGAGAGACACACTGATTGGTTGCCTCCCACATGGGCAAACTGAGGCACGTGCCCTTGACCAGAATCCAACCGGGGACCTTCAGTCCCCAGGCCTGTGCTGCATCCACTGAGCCAAACCGGCTAGGGCTGGCAATTTTAAATGCAAGTGGCACCAGAGACCCTGAGTTCCAATCCTGATTCTGATTCTGTGTGGCCCCAGATGTTCGCTTGACCCCTTTTGGCCTGTTTTTCCCATTTGCTGCTGGTGGCAGTGAGGTTGGGAGTGCTGTCGGGGGGAGGAAAAGAATCCCAGCCTAGTGCCTGTATCAATCTAGTGGTTGATAGAAGGAGACCTGATCTTTGTTGTTGTTGTTAATCCGAATCTGATTTCTAGTGATTAATACAGGGAGACCAGATCTTTGTTGTTAATCCTCACCTGAGGATATTTCTCCATTGGTTTTTAAGGAGAGTGGAAGAGAGATGGAAAGACAGAGAGAAATATCGATGTGAGAGGAACACGTCGACTGGTTGCCTCCTGCATAAGCCCCAACCAGGGTGCCAGGGTGGAGCCTGCAACTAAGGTACGTGTCTTTGAGAGGAATCGAACCTGGGACCCTTAGGTCCGCAGGCCAACGCTCTATCCGCTAAGCCAAACCAGCTAGGGCTCCATTTTTTTAAAATATATTTTTTTATTGGTTTCAGAGAGGAAGGGAGAGGGGGAGAGATAGAAACTTCAGTGATGAGAGAGAACCATTGATCGGCTGCCTCTTGCACCCTTGACGGGAATCGAACCTGGGACCCTTCAGTCCGCAGGCTAACGCTCTATCCACTGAGCCAGATCAGCTAGGGCCAGGCACCACTTTTAGCTGGGACTAGTTATGGACTTCCTGTCACCCCAAAGAAACCTTTCTCTCCTCTCTCTGTTCTAGCCTGCCGGAGAAGCTCAGAGATCCTTGCCCCTTTTATTTGAGGAACTCTTTTGGACGACACAAAATGATTTGATCATTCAGGACAAAACTGCTCTAGAGGTGAGTCATTTGTGAACATCATGGGAACCAGGTTGCAGTGGGGCCCTCTGACTCCTGTGGGGCCGGGCTGGGGGCGGGGGCCACAGTGTGGTTTTCTCCGTTTCCAGGGGAGGAAACCCGGGAGCCTGGCCTTCTGCTATGGGGACTAAAAGAAACAAGGACAGAAAGAATACATTTTTAACCGATTTCCCTAAATACTATTATTCGTATATGCAAAAAAGTAACTGTCTTTTGCTGTAAGAGTTTTGAGGATGATTAGATCAGTAGCATGCTCCACCAAGCTAGAAAAAGATAAAGAAATGAAGGCAAAGTAAGGAGACCCTTTTCTATGGGATAAAAGTATTAGCTGCGATTCTGGAAGCTGGAACTCCCTCCAGATAAGGCCTAGGAGAGCCCTCCCACCCTCCAAAACCTGTCAGTTCCTTGTCCCTGTACCTCCCTCCCCTTCTCTCCCATCATTTCCTTCACCTTGTCTCCTCTCCCGACCCCCTCCCTCTTTTTCCCACTGCCTCTCCCAATTCCTAGATAAAAAGTTCTTAGAGAAAAGGCTGATACCCACATCCCTTCTTGACCGAAAGGGTTTCATGCATGTGTGGTCTAGTGGAGAGGGATGGGGTGCCCGCCCTCTGACCGGAGCCCTGCTCCTGGGATGTCCCAGTCTGTGTTTTGGGGGGAAATAGCTTCTCCCTGCAATCCTGGGATGGTCTGGGGCCGTGGTCGACAAACTGCGGCTCGCGAGCCACATGCGGCTCTTTGGCCCCTTGAGTGTGGCTCTTCCTAAGCCTTAGGAGTACCCTAATTAAGTTAATAACAATGTACCTACCTATACAGTTTAAGTTTAAAAACTTTGGCTCTCAAAAGAAATTTCAATCGTTGTACTGTTGATATTTGGCTCTGTTGACTAATGGGTTTGCCGACCACTGGTCTGGGGATAGTGTCGTAACCTTGACAGTCAGAGGTGTTTCCAGTGTCACTCATTGTCACCACCAGAGGGCAGCAGCCAGCCAGACCTTTGCTCCTTGTCTAGTCTTCCTGGCTCTCAATGTCTTTCCAGATCTGCCCCAGATGCCTCTGGTCTCTTATTCAACCTCAGGGTGGAGGGGGCCAGGGGTAGATAAGGGCACTGGGAGCCGTAGGTGGTGTCCTTTATAGCCACGTTGGTAAAGGCCTGTCCCCAAAGCCACATAGCAAAGTCCAGCAGAAATGTCAATCTGACTCTCCAGTCCCAGATCACCTGTGGTGCCGGGGGTCCCTGCCCCGCAGCTGTGGTACAATGAGCCTGATCACCTTCCCCTACCCTTGCGAGGACAGAGGGCAGGCAAGGCTGCAGCCTGGTGCTCATGATCCAGGGTCTGCCCGCGGGAACAGCAAGGCCATGGGCAAGTTATTTCACCTCTCTGAGCCTTTCTCATCTGCTGAATTCATGAAACTGATGAGCAGGGAGAGAATATGAGTGAAGGTGATCTGTAAATTATGTTGTCCCGTACACAGAGAGGGACAATGATTATACTTGAGAGAAAAAGCACTGGTCTCAGAGTCAGATCTGTTTTTCGGTGCTGTTGATAATCCTCACCTGAGGATATTTTTCCCATTGATTTTTTTTTTTTTTAAGAGTGTGGAAGGGAGGGAGAGAGAGAGACAGACATAATCTACTGCCTCCCACCCTTGCTCTCACCAGGGCCAGGGATGGAACCTGCAATCCAGGTGCATGCCCTTGACCGTGAATCGAACCCTCAACCCTTTGGTGTGGGGTGCTGATGCTCTAACCACGGAGCCACACCAGCGAGGGCTCAGATCTGGTTTTGAATCTGTCTGCCGTTCACAGTGGTGACCTTTGAGCAAGTCAGTTCCCCTCTCTGGGTCTCCAACTCTGTCATCTGTAACCTCTCCAGCATCCTAGTGGATCGCTAAGAGGATGCCTACCCAGGGCTTTGTGCGCTGCAAGCACTGCCCAGCTGAGGGGTTGTTTTTACTGAGCTCCTGGGAGTGGTTCCTGGGGCCCAGCAGCGGGGATAAGGCCTGGTAGCATCAGCGGTGGGAACAAAGCCAGCTGACTGGGCGCCCTCCAACGGACCTTGTGTGGTTGTCAGGAGCTCTGGAAGACGGCTAGAGCCCAGCAGTCCCTACAGGTGGTGCTGGGGTGGTGCACCAACAATGAGCGGGTGTTTTCCGGTTGCTGGCCTCCGATGCCTGTCTAGGGTAAGTGGGTCCCTCTAGAGGTCTCTTAGGGTAAGGCCTCAACTTCCATGTTTCCACCCTGGGGTGGCAGGGACCCTACCTAGCCTCTTTTAGGCTTGCCCTCACCTCTACTGGGCCTCTAATCCCTAGAAGCTTCCATCCCAGGTGAGGGTCCTAATGCTTTACATCCTCAACTTCAGAGAGCCTGGGCCACGGAGACTCCCGCGTGGATGGTGCTGAGACCAGTGGGTGACTCTAGGGCAGCGGTTCTCAACCTGTGGGTAGCGACCCCTTTGGGGGTCGAACGACCCTTTCACAGGGGTCGCCTAAGACCATCGGAAAACACATATATAATTACATATTGTTTTGTGATTCATCACTATGCTTTAATTATGTTCAATTTGTAACAATGAAATTGGGGGTCACCACAACATGAGGAACTGTATTAAAGGGTCGTGGCTTTAGGAAGGTTGAGAACCACTGGTCTAGGATGAGGTCCAAGGGACAGTTACGTTAGGGAGGCAACAGGCCAAGTTCAAATCCCAGCTCTGAAGTTAGGAGCCTGGACCGCTGTTTCACAAGGTATGCCAGGCCATAAACATCACAGAAATATGAGGGCGTTCGGAAGACCCCAGAAAGAGGAGAGCTTTCATCTGGACTAATTGGGTGGAGGCTGGAAGGGGGGGAGGGAGGCAGTGCAGTATGTAGTGAGCTTTGCATGACTTGCTCACCCTGCCCCTCCATCCATCCAGCTGTTGGCAGGCAGAGGCGGCAGGGACTGGCTGCCGAGGGCTTCTGCCTCCGTTTGCTTGCCTTTCTTTGTGCCTCACACTTGCCCTGTTGTCTCCATTCCCTCCAAGGTCTCCACTTCCTGGAGCTCCTCACCCCCACTCTGTCTTCCCGTCCAGTCTGTCTCCACGCTCCCCCATCATTACTTCCTCCTAGGCCCTCTTCCCCCACCACTGTCTCATACCGTTCCCCACCCACCCCGTCCCCACACCCACCCCGTCCCCACTACTTTCTTCACCTTTTCAGCCACTGCTGCTCTTTCCTCTCCCTTACCTGCCTCAGGTATGCCGTGGCCTGGCGCGGGAGGCTCCTACCTCCCCAAGCCCCATTGCTTCTGCTGCTCGCTCGCTTCGGACTCTGGCACGAGCCCCACCCGCTGACACGGTCCTTCTGGGGAATTGGCAAGTGACTAGTGATGAGCTGTCAGCACAGGCCCCTAAAACTCCCTGGAAAAGCTGAGTCCCATCCCTGGACCCCTGCCCAGAGCCATCTGGCTGGAAGCGGCTCCCAGAGAGCCTCCCTGGGCCTTGAGCCTCTACCCAGCTGGTTATTCTGAGCTCAAACCCAGCTCCCTGGCCTGTGCCCATGCCCAGCACCTACTCTCCAGGCCTGAGGTCTGGCACTCATGGTCCACGTGCTTTGCATAGTGTCAACTCGTCTTCCCTGGAGACAAGCTCCTTATTGTCCATCACCATCCACAGCCATCGGCCCAGGGGGGATTGTGGAGGCTGTTCCCTTTGAGTGAATGGGTGGTTTCCCTGTCGCTGGAAAGGAGTGGAGTCCCCTCCACCCTCCCTGTATCCACACCATCAACTGGGGTCAGAAGTTTCTAGAAAGTCTAGTCCAGAAACGTCCCCAAAGGGTGTCCCCTTCTTTCCGCTGCCCCATGTTAAGTCCCAATGGCCCTGGATGAGAGTAGCAGCAAGAGGTGCCAAGGAAGCCCTCCTGGGCTCAGGAGGAGGCTGGTCCTCTGAGGATAAATCCCAGCGCGGTCAACTTAGAGGTGCCCAGGGGGCGGGCAGGGAGCTGGGGCGGGGGCCGCGGCGTTGGGTGCTCCCCGGCTTAACCAGCCTTGGGTCCTCCTCAGGTCTTGGATGTGCCAGCGCCTCTGGCCGCGGCCCGCTAACCAGCCTCTCCCGGGTCGGCGCCCGCCGCGCCCGCTCTCGCTTGCTCCCTCCTCCTGCTGCTCTTCCTCCCCCTGCTCCCAGGACGGCGGGATGGCGGTGCAGGGCGCGCCGCGCTTCCTCCTGACCTTCGATTTTGACGAGACCATCGTGGACGAAAACAGCGACGACTCGATCGTGCGCGCCGCGCCGGGCCAGCGGCTGCCGGAGAGCCTGCGCGCCACCTACCGCGAGGGCTTCTACAACGAGTACATGCAGCGGGTCTTCCAGTACCTGGGCGAGCAGGGCGTGCGGCCGCGGGACCTGCGCGCCGTCTACGAGGCCATCCCCCTGTCCCCGGGCATGGGCGACCTGCTGCAGTTCGTGGCCAAGCAGGGAGCCTGCTTCGAGGTGATCCTCATCTCGGATGCCAACACCTTCGGCGTGGAGAGCGCGCTGCGCGCCGCCGGCCACCTGGGCCTGTTCCGCCGCATCCTCAGCAACCCGTCGGGGCCCGACGCGCGGGGGCTGCTGGCGCTGCGGCCCTTCCACGCGCACAGCTGCGCGCGGTGCCCCAGCAACATGTGCAAGCACAAGGTGCTCAGCGACTACCTGCGCGAGCGGGCCCAGGACGGCGTGCACTTCGAGCGCCTCTTCTACGTGGGCGACGGCGCCAATGACTTCTGCCCCATGGGGCTGCTGGCCGGCGGCGACGTGGCCTTCCCGCGCCGCGGCTACCCCATGCACCGCCTGATCCAGGAGGCGCAGAAGGCCGAGCCCAGCTCGTTCCGCGCCACCGTGGTGCCCTGGGAGACCGCCCACGACGTGCGCCTCCATCTGCAGCAGGTGCTGAAGGCGTGCTGAGACGGCGGCCAGCAGGGGGCGCCCCGACCAGGAGTGAGGAAGGGAGATCGGGAAAGACAGTCTAGTTTTTTAACTTCCTTTCCCTTTCGCTTTGGTGTGGAATTTCTAGAATTCCAGGCCCGTCCATGCGGGGGCTGAAGGAGGGAGTTCAGAGCCAATCCGAACTATCCATGCAGTTAAACCAGCGCGGCCACAGCAAACAGTTAAATTCTGGACGGTGGCCCAACCCGGGTGATGCGCATTCCTGGGAAGGCAGCAGCGTTTCCTAAAAGCTTGTCCTCCGAACTGGGAGGAAGAGGTGCCCTTGTGCGCGAGAGAACTTTAACTGCTGCCTGGCCCGTAACTTCCCTTCTTCCAGGCTTAGGTCAGGGAGGAATCCTCCCGCATCGACGCCCCGCGGAGAGAGGAAGCTTTCTGCCCACAGCCCCAGGCCTAGATTTCGCTTCACCTACCGCGATGCCACACTACATCCCTTTTCTGGCCTCCCTTCCCCGCCCATCCGGCCAGCAACCCCAAAGGAAGAAAAGCCAGACGGAACAGTCGCCTCCTGGTGGTGGAACGAGGTAGCACACTGTCTGGCTTGGGTCGGACCAGCCAGGAACCTCGCAGCGGTGCCTCGGTGTCTTCTCGTACCCCAGCCTCGTCTATGCAACAAGACCAGGGACAACCAAAGTCACCCCCGTAGGCTGGGCCCTCTGCGGCCCCTCCTCTCCTATGGAACAGAAAGCCATGACGTTTTAAAACAGAGCCAGCGAAACCCAAGCCCCTCCTCTTTGGTGTTTTAGAGCTATTAAAGCAGGTGAAGGGGGAGAGTCGACAGGTCTCTGGTACTGCCATCAGAGGGGTGAGGGTGAGGGTAAGGTGGTCTCTGCTCTTAGGGAGCCCCACTTATGTGAGGGATTGGTCCCCACTTTTCGCGGAGGGCCCAGCTTGAGGCACCAAGACTGAATACACAGCAGGCAAAAGAACAGGATGGGGCCATCTGCAGAGGGCACCAGGGGCGCCAGTAGAGAGGGCCCTTAATGAAGGTGGAGATGTGAGACAGACTTGCTAGGAGCAGGCAGAGGGGGCTCAAAACCTAGGAGCCTTAGAACTGAAATGCCTTTTAGTCCCTTCTCTCTGGCCCCTCCCCCAGCCCAGCCCTCCAGGGCAGCCATCAGGAGTTCATCAGAGTTTTATTCAAAGTTGCCACTTGCAGCTGGAGACCCCACCCTCCATGGGATAGGGGTCCTCTGTGTGGACAACTCCTCGGCTTCCAGCTCTTTCCGGTCTGCAGCAGACCTCTGGGTACCTCCTCTAGTCCAGTCTTGCTTGATCTTGGAACTGGCTTTTGCCTGGGCCTCGAGGTTCACGCAGAGAAGAGCCCCAGGTCGTCTGTCAGCAGCCGGGGGCCACGTAGTTACCCGGGAAGAATCCGGTCCCCTCGGCGGTGACACCCTCACACCAGCCATCGGAGTGGCGGCGGGTGATGCAGATGACAGTGCCCTCGGAGAAGGAGAGCTCGTTGTCCTTCTGGCCAGTGTACGGGTACAGTGTCACCACTGCAGGGCGGAGGAGGGGGCGCCATGAGAAGTGCCTCCTGCCCAGCCATGGCAATACAGGGGCCTGCATATTCTGGGGAGCATGTAGGGGAGAAGGGTGCAAGCTGTGGGGCAAGAGGCCTTCTCCCAAGCCCTGGGGACCGAACCCTTCCCCAGCTCAGTTAAACAATAGCAGGCCAGCTGCTGTCTTCCCTGCTTGGTTCTGAACGACTGGGTAAACATTTGCTCAGTTCACCAGGAAATGGGGGGTGGGGCGGGGGTTGACAGTAGGCCCAGAATGCATCTGGGGTGGAATGGGAACCCTGGTGGTGGGACCTGGGGTCCTTCAGGCCCAGAAAGGTGCCTACCTTTCTCCAAGTATGAAGCAGGGACCCAGCTGGGCTCTTCTGGCCCAAAGCCTGGTGGAGGTGGAGGTGGTAGTTCCAATTCATCTACATCCAGGATTGGAGGAGGGGGCAGGTCCAGGGGCGGGGGCAGCTCTGGGGCTGGGAGGGAAAACAAAGTCTGCCCTGTGCACAGGGAACCCCGTCCACTCACCCCAGGTAACTGCTATTCAAGAGGAGGGCACCGGATCTGCCCATTTTATGAAATCTTCCTCCAGCCCTTGCCCAGCCTGGTCCTCCCACAATGCCGCCAGCGCGGAGTAGGTGCCCAGTAAACACTGAACCTTTGGACAATGTAGGGTAGTCAGACTGCCGCTTAGCTGGGTAACCATTGGGCACCTCACCTAACCTTTCATCCTCAGCCTCGTCTGTTAAATGGGGGTGTGAAGATCCTCTTAGGGTTCGATTTAAGCGGGAAAATGGATGAGAAGCTTCGACCCCACCGCCTGGTATAAAGCAGGCCCTAAGTTGTTAGTTCGCCCCCTTTCTCCTTTCACTGAGGTGGGCGGGTTAGACCCAAGAGGGCTGGGGAGGGGTACTGGGGGTGAGACAGGGACCCCACAGTGGAGCTAGGAGGAGAGGGCGGAGCCCCTTACCTGGAGGGGGCAGGGACAGTTCCTCCAGCGGAGGGGGCAGCAGGTCGATGTCCGAAGCTGGCGGAGGGGGTGGGGCCATGGAGCTGGGAAGAGGGGGGGGAGGGGGTGCTGCCTGCCCCTTGGTCGTGGAGGCCCCACCGACACCTTCGGCACTGCTGGAGGTCAGGGGAAGCAGGGGCGTTTAGTTTGGGGGACCCCTTCCCCAACGGGCCCCGCCCCTGTGACCCATCGTGACAGCTGGCAGGAGGCCCCTCACTCCCACCACAGCCACTCCCGGCTTGGGCTTGGGGGGCTCACCCAGCCGAGGCCAGGGAAGAGGCAGAAGAGGCTGCGGAGAGTTTGCCGTCGGGCACCACGGGGAGCTGCACGGGCTCCGGGATCCTGGGCGCGCGCCTGGGGGTAGGAGGGGGAGGGTGCGGTCAGGTGCGGGAGGAGGGGGCGGCGGCGGAGGAGGAAGTTGGGCGGGGAGGGGAGGGGAGGGGAGGGGAAGGGATCACGTGAGGCCGGTTTGGGTCTCGGCGGGCGTGGCCTCACCCCAGAGTCGCAGAGGTGGGTGTGGCGGGCGCCTTGATGCTCTTTCGAGACAGGGTCCCGGTCCTCGACAGCTGCGTGCTCAGGTCCTGGGGGAGACGGGGCTGGGCTGACGCTGAGTCCCCCGCCCCCCTCCAGCTCCCCCATCCCACCGGGGAGAGAGGAGAAGGGGGGAGAAGGGGCGGACAGGGACTGGGAGGAAGAGCGAGGCCCTGCAAGTTCCCACTTCCACTTCCCGGCCCCTCCGCCCACCGCACCCCGTCTTGCTCACAGCCTGGGCGCCAAGTCTGCCGCGGCCCCGCGGAAACTCAGGGCACAGACAGCCTGAAGGCCACTTCCTCTGCACGGCCTCCGCGCCTGCGGGGCCCCCTCCCCCCTCCCACAGCGTCTCGGCGCCCAGCCGGGTGGCTCCTACTCCGACCCCAGCCTCGGCGTGGCGCTGAGGAAGGCGTGGGACAGCAGGGGGCCGTCACGCTTAGGAAAGTCCCACCTGGCAGGCCTGTGGCCCTGGCTCTGGGGGTTCAGGGCAGAGAGGAGCAGAACATACACCATAGAGTGGGGTGTACCCATGACAAGGTGCAAGCCCGCGCAAGAGAGCCCCTCTGTGATGATAGGGTTTCCCCAGGAGAGGGGCCACAGGGAGTGACATCCTCTTCTCTACTTCACTGGGGTCAAGACACAGGGACTTGAGCCGAATCCTAAAGCATTTAAGCTGGACAGCGGGAAGAACTCACAGGTGGGAGGCCTGGTGCCTGCAGGGGAGATTTCGTTCCCCCCTTTTTGAGGGAAAGGTATGGTAAGGATATGGGAGGAGGAGGAGGGGCCGTTTAGGTACAGAGGGGCTTTCATCTAACCTGGAACGTTGGAGTGTGGGGCCAGGAATTGATCAAATGGGGTGGGGAGGGAGGGGTGTCCTCGCCCCCCTCTCAGTAGATGGGCCGAGAAGAAAATGCCAGAGTCCTGCTTCCCTGTCTTCACCATGTCCCCTTAGAGTGGCTGCATCCCTGCCCCTTCTCGCCCCACAGTAGCTCTGGTGTGACTTCTCAGTGCTGTGACCTCAAACCTCCAGACAGAGGAAGTTGCTGTTCTCATGCGGCCGGGGAGCCATTCTCATGCACACCCCGACAACCGCCCTTCCTCCTCTTGCCCTTCACACACGCCAGCACCGCGGCTCAAATGTCAGTCTCAGCAGATCATTTGGGCACAGGGTGAAGGCCGGTCGTGGAGGTTTTTAAGGAGGGGGTTGGCTTCAGGAAGTGGGGACAGGAACATGGATGTGGAAGAGAAAGTGAGGGGGGGAGGTGGTGGAGAAAGAGGAGGGGCCCTGTCTCTACCTTGATCCCATGGCCAATGTCATCCAGGCAACCGAAGTTGAGGGGTTTCCTGAAGTAGGGCGTCAGGGGAGGTAGGCTCTTGGGGGCGATGACTTTCTGGCTGGGGTGCAGCCGCTGGACAGTGGCTAAGGTGCCGATCTCCCTCCGGGCCACCTTCTCCATGTGCATGTTCACCATCTGTGTGACAGGGTTTGAGGTGACAGCGAGGGGGGGCTCTACAGCACCCTTCCCCTTAAGGGAGGAAGAGGCTAGCGACTTTGGGGTGCGGGTAGGGAAGTGGGGAGGTCCTTTGTCCCCAAGGACACACAGCATTTGGAAAGAGTTGCCCTGGGAGGATGGAGCCCCTTTGGAGCAACTTCCTGGTGGAAGAGAATGGGGGTTATTATTAGCAGAGCAGGAACCAGAGGAAAAGAGAAAACCGCATCCCTGGGGTTGTCGGGCAGAGAGCGGGCTGGCTTGGGAGCAAAGAGGGAGAACGCGGAGGTGGCTGAGAGTTGTGGCAGGGTCAGCTCTCCCTTCTGAGGGACAAATAAGTGAATTAATTTCTCTTGGGATGTTTTGTGGAGAAACGTACAGCACTGAGAGGGTAGGAACTCCCCTCTGCCAGGATGAGAGGAAGGCACCCCCACACTGAACACGGGGCTGCTGCACAGGCCAGGCTGATGTGTAATTGGATCTGTGCATGTGGATTATGGGGCAATTAACTCCTCAGCCAAGGATCCAGGAAGGAAGGAGGGGGGGTGATAGGTGGGCAGGGGACACTAGGGCGGTGGCAGTGCTTCCAGAGCTGAACATGACCTTGCCAAGCAAGCACTCTGGGTCTAGGATATTTATTAAGTTACTAGAGGCCCAGTGCATGAAATTCGTGCACTGGAAGGGGGAGGGTCCCTCAGCCTGGCCTGCGCCCTCGCAGTCCGGGACCCCTCACTCCTTACCACCTGCCTGCTCTCTGCTCCTTACCGCTTGGCTCACTGCTGTTAGCGCTGCCACGGAGGCGGGAGAGGCTCCTGCCACCGCCGCTGTGCTCGCCAGCCATGAGCCCAGCTTCTGGCTAAGGTGGCACTCCCCCTGTGGGAGCGCACTGACCACCAGGGGGCAGCTCCTGTGTTGAGCATCTGCCCCCTGGTGGTCAGTGCACATCATAGCAACCGGTCATTCTGGTTGTTCGGCCATAACGGTTGCTTAGGCTTTTATTATATAGATTGCCCATGTTTAGATGGAAACTGGGTCCATTTTGCCTCTTTCCTGGACTACGCAGCCACCGTGATGGGTAGAACCTGCTTCCTGCTACTACTCAGGGTAGAAGTCAGAGAAGGAAAGAGCTTTGCCTTCAGGGAGTACCTAGTCTGATGGGGCAGCAAGGCCCAGCACTGACACAGCCACAAAGATCAGGAGGTTCAACTGGGAATTGCCAAGCTTCTGTGACAGAGTCAGACATTTGGAAAAAGGCAGCAAAGAAATATTACTAGAGAAAATGCCCTCGTGGGGCTGAAGACTAGGGGGATGATGCAAGAAGCCGTCCCACATTCCTTACCTGGCCCAGTGTGCTTACACGGGCTTCCACCTGTCGCAGAGCGACTGCCTGCAGGTCCAACATGCGCACGGTGTTCCCGGCCAGGTTGCCCACCTGGTAGGCCACGCTGGCCAGCGCCTGGGTGGTAAAGGCCATGGTCTCCTCCAGTGCCTTCCGCTTGTCTGTGGCCTGAAATACACACAGTCCTGGTCGGAGGCCAGCACCTTCCACTGATTCTTTGCTGGACAGCTGGGATGGGAGAGGGTATGGGGCAGTGGGGGCTTGGATTGGGAAAAGCAACAGCCCTTAGGTGTTTTAAGTGTTTTCCATAAGAATGATGTGACAGTAGGTGGACTCAGGGGACATAAGAAAAGCAAGTCTGTAGCCCCAGGGAATGGAGGCCAGGAAAGAGATAGATGCCCCTTCTCAAATAGTCAAGCTGAGGATTAACCCTACCACCTTTTTGAGGACCTCTTGGGAGGTGGGGGTAAAGGGTAAATAGAAATGAGAGGGAACGGCAATATTGATTGAAGGAGATCTCAAACTTAAAACCCACCTGACCTTCTGGGAAGGTCAGGCCCTCATCCCAGACCTTCTAACCAGCATCCTGTGGGAGTGAGGCTGAGGAGTCTGTGCCTTTAAAAGCTCCACAGGGAACTCTTGTGCTCTTTGTTTAGCTCCAGTTTGCAGGTGGGTATTTGGGGAATAATGACTTGGTCCATTTTATCGATAAGAAAATTGAGGCCCAAAGATAGTTACCTCATTCATTCCTTCCTTCCAATAGCTTCCAGCACATGGAGGATGAAATCCAAACTACTAACTAACTATGGCCTTTATAGGATCCCCACAAGGCCGGGTCCTGTTTTCTCTTCACCCTCATCCCCTGCCACTCCCTCTCTCGCTTACTCACCTCCAGCCACATTGGCCATGGGTTTCTGTTCCTGATGAAGCTAAGATTGTTTCTACCTCAGGTCTTTTCACTTGTACTTATTTCTAGAAACCTTATTGTTAAGTCTCAGCTCCTCAGAGACACCTCCCCCACCACCCTATGATTTTCCCCAGCCCACTTCTGTATCGACGAAAATATTTACCCTGTTCTCTTTTCTTCAAAGCAATTAGCATTATCAGCAATTATTTATCTACTAGAAGCCCAGTGCACGAAATTCGTGCGGGGGGGGGGGGCAGGTCCCCTCAGCCCGGCCTGCACCCTCTCCAATCCAGGACCCCTTGGGGGATGTCAGACATCCCTCTCGCAATCCGGGACCGCTGGCTCCTAACCTCTCACCTGCCTGATTGTCCCGAACTGCTCCCCCCTACCAGCCTGATCACCTCTAACTGCCCTCCCCTGCCAGCCTGATCGCCCCTAACCGCCTCTGCCTCGGCCCCCGCCACCGTGGCTTTGTTCAGAAGGAAGGCAGGATGACCAGAAGATGTTCAGTTGACCTGGTCTAATTAGCATATTACCCTTTTATTAGTATAGATTTACTTTATATCTACTACACAGATGCACACACACATACACACACTAAAATGTAAGCACAGTGAGGGCAAGGAGCTTTTCTGTTTTATTCTCTATCCCATTTTGGTATAGTGTCCCCAACACAGATGATAATAAATATGCATTTGTGAGTTAATTAATGGATTTCATGTAAACCTAAATACTTGCTGGGCATCTTCCCACTGTCTTCCAGGCACTGTGCCAGGGGCTGAGCAGGGTCACACTGCCAGTCAGTGGTGAAGGGGTGGGCAGGGAGTGGCTTAAGACAGAAGAGGGATTTTTTTCAGTCCCAAATCCCACTGTGGTGATTGGGACAAAACTTCTGTGGTCATTTGGTTCCCCAGGCAGCTTCCTCATGTTTGGTTGGATCATGGAGTTGCTGCATTCTAGCCTGTACCGTTGTGGGGATGGGGAGGTAAGTCCAGGGCAGACAAGGCTGCACCATGGGGTCTCAGCACTGAGGTGCTCCTCAAGGCCCGTCAGTGGAGAACACACCTGGAACCTATCAGAGCAGGGTGCTCAGAGAGATCTGGGTGCCTCCAAAGTAGCTTGAGTTAGGCTGGAGCCAAAGGGCAGACCCAGAATCTTCTGAGCTGCCCCTCCTGTGTTACTCCTCTCAGGAGTCCCTTCCTGCCTTTCTGTTCCAACACCAGTTAGGAGATGCTCATTTGCAAGCAATGTACATTCATTAGCACATGCAACCAAGTGCCTTGACAAAGCAAAACAATCAGGATTTTTTTGTGTTTGTTTTTTTTAAATCCTTAACCAAAGATAAGTTTTTATTGAGGAGAGAGAGAGAGAGAGAGAGAGAGAGAGAGAGAGAGAGAGAGAGAGAGAGAGAGAGAGAGAGAGAGAGATCTGCAACCAGGTATGTGCCTGACAAGGGATCAAACATGCTACCTTTTGGTGTATAGGATGACGCTTCAACCAACTGAGCCACACTGGCCAGGCTAACCCAGGAAGTTAAAACCAGAAAGAATAACAGGTCTTGTTCTAGTTCAAGACCTCCGTTTAATAGGTGAGGAAATGAAGGCCCAGAGGGATCAGGGACCATTCCTTTGGTCTCCACCCAAATTTGTTAGCTCAACTCTCCTGTACTGTTCCCTCCCTGGACTGGCATGTAGAATTTATCACTGGATTTCTTCTATCATCCTAAATAGGAAAAATGTCTGCTTGGCCCCAATTCTGGCAGGCTAGAGCCTGGGTGCCTACTAACCCTTGGGTCTTAAACCAAAGTCAGGTCTGGAGGTCAAGGGTTTGGGACCTATCTTCATGACTGACTGCTTATTTATTATGCAAATTACCCCATCTGTAAACTCCCTGGACCCTGACAGAGAACTCTGCAGTTGACCTCATTCCCCAAGGGTTTCCTGGCACCTGCTTGTGCTAGAGGGAGGGGGCTGGGAGAGGACAGAAAGCCTAGGAACCAGGCCTTGTTAAAAAGCAGTTCTAAGAAGTCATCCATACCTTTCTCAGGCATTTGCTCTCCAGACAAAAATCCTCAGAGAGACCAGAAAAGGGAATTGGTTCTGTGGTCTCACGGTTAGTGTTCTGCCCGAAGCAGGAGTCTGGGAATGCCGACCTGGGCCAGAGCTTCCTATCCCCGGAGTGTTTGCAAGGGCTGCTCCACCTCACTAGACTTGACTTGTGTTATCTACCTGTACCTCTCATCCTTCTGATGAATAAGAGGATGGTGATGGTGATCATAATAGTAACAGCTGCCATGTATCCTGGCCTGTTTAAGGGGCAGGCACTGGGCTAAATGCTCCAATACATTATCACATTGTACTGAATTAAGGGGAAAGTTGCCACAGGTCCTATAGTTGGTAGTTGGCAGAGTTGGAAATTGGACTCAGGCCTTTGTGCCCTCAAATCCTGTGTGCACACTGTGTGCAAATGAGAGCCCACGGAAAGTGCTTTCTGATGTGCGGAACTGATTGAAGGAATGGGGAGGAATACTTCCACCCCGTCATCAGGAGGAGCGCGCCTGCTGCGCTAGAACAGAGCTGGTGTACAGGCCAATCAACACCTACGCAGTCAGAAATGACACCTGGAGTCGGAGTTACGGGTTTGAATCCAGGTCCTGCCATTATCTTGAAAACCTTGGGAAAGTGAGTTAACCTTTCTGGACCCCGGCCTCTGGTTGTGAAGTGGGAGTGATTTCCCCTCACAGGACCTGGGTGAGGACTAAAGGAAGCAGCCCACTTGCCCAAAGTAAGGGGGCCGAGGGTTTTAACTATTATTATCATTGACTCTCTCTCTCTCTCTTTCAAAAATATGTTCTATTGATTTTTAGAAAGAGGAAGGGAAAGGACAGGGAGATGGAAACATTGATGAGAAACATCATCAGTCGGCTGCCTCTTGCACATCCATCCCTCACTGGGGATCGAGCCTGGAACCCGGGCATGTGCCCTGACCGGAAATCCAACCAGTGACCTCTTGGCTCATGGGTGGATGCTCAACCATTTAGCCACACTGGCCAGGCTCATTGACTCTCTCTTTCCCATAAGCACTTGCTCCTTTTATGATGATTATTTTTCCATGCTCTTATTAATCTGGGAATCCCCGTGCCTCCTCTCACAGTTTGATCAGGACAGGTTAGAAGAATGAAGTTTTGCTGACGGGATAAGAGGATTAGTCTGTAGCCTGTAGCCCTTAAGGGAGCGGAGGAAACCAAGGACAGAGAGTGCGGATAAATCGTCTTAAAGTCATACAGCATGTCGGGGAGGCAGGGAGGCGGGGAGCTCGGCTTCAGAATCAGGAGGCCTGGGCTCATGCCCGGCTCTACTGCTTCCAGGTGGCGTGACCTTCAGCGGTCCCCTGGCCTCCCTGCACTGCTGTCTCACAAGGTGGTCACCAGGATTCATGAAATAACAGAGGTGCTCAGTCACTAAGTCTTTCTCCTTCCTCTTCTCTTTTTTTAAATATATTTTATTGATTTTTTACAGAGAGGAAGGGAGAGGTATAGAGAGTCAGAAACACCCATCAGCTGCCTCCTGCACACCCTCCACTGGGGATATGCCCGCAACCAAGGTACATGCCCTTGACTGGAATCGAACCTGGGACCCTTTGGTCCGCAAGCCAACGCTCTATCCACTGAGCCAAACCGGTCAGGGCCAGACCCCTCTCTTGAACCCGGCCTCATCTCCCTGCTCCCTCGCTCTCCCTGGCCCATCTCAAGTCTCGGGCAGTCCTTTGGAAGTCTCACCTAGAGCCAGCCTGACAAGGACAGATGGCGCCAACGTGTGTGTGAGGACAAGCCTTTGGGCCTGTGGATCTGAGTGAGAGGCTGGGAGGCTGAGAATGACGGTGTAGTGCACCCGCACATCTGAGGCTTGGGGAGAGAAAAGGGGCACCGCGGGGGCTTGGGCAGCACAGGGTCACGGTTAAAGTTTGGGGGACTGGGTTGAAGCTGAGGCCTGGAGCGGGAGGAGTTCTCAGCCAAAGCCCAGGACAAGCACCTGTCAGGATGGTCCCCAGGGCCTGGCCCGGGGGATGGCCTTGCCTCGGGCCCCTCGAGGGACTGGGGTGTCGGGCCGCTGCCCGCCCTACCTGTGCGTAGTTGTCTTCGCAGTAATCGGCGACTCGCAACAGGGCGCTGTGGTTGCCCCGCAGAGCCTCCCGGCCCGTGGGGATCTCGAACTCCTGCAGCTGCTGCAGCTCTGCCATCGCCCCGCTCTGCCGGCTCCCCACGGAGCGACTGGTTTTGTGCCTCACCCCTCCCTTGATTGGCTGCTCTGCCTCCCCGCTCTCTCACCGCTTTTGGTTTCCTCTCCGTGAGAGACCGAAACCTGCTTGCAAAGGGCAGGCATGCTCATTCCGGGACAAGAGGAAGTCAGTGCCTGCTCCCGGGGCCTGCGCCGTTCTGTCCCCTGCCCAGAGGAAGGGGACAGCCAATGGTCCCTTTGGGGGCCCAGCCTCCCAACCTCTCCCCGCAGAGGAAGTCAAGGTCGGGGCGTCTGTGATTGCTCCCTGGGCCTGGAGAGGAAACTGTTTTGGGGGGGAGGGGGTTTGATTGCGGAGGAAGGGGGGTGGCCTGCTGGGGGGGAGGGGGCGTGGAGACAGATTTTCCACTCATGGACAGGGAGGAAAGGGCAGAGGGTGGGGGCTTCCTTGGGAAGCACAGGGATGAGTCACCAGGGACAGCAGTGGAGGGTGGGGAGGATATGGAGACCAGTCGTGCCGGGGGCCTGTAGGGTGGCGGAGCAGCAACAACGAAAGACAGACAATGCAACAGTAAGAAGGATCAGACGGGACAGCAGGAAGTTACAGCCAGAGTCCCCTAGGAAGTGTGTACAAGCCTCTGCAGGGCTCCATGGGATGACGATGTGGTGCGCATGCTCTGTGCTCGATGGAGGCAGGATGAGGTGAAATGGACCAGGTGTAGTGTGAGGGACTCAGGTTAGACAACAGGAAGGACTTGGCTGTGAGAAGCACCGGGTTCAAGATCCTGATGAACTGCTCGGGTTTAGGACGCAGCGGTGGCTAGAGCACTGAGCCGGCCTCCGGAGGTAGGTGCTCTATTTCCTGCATTAGCAGGGAGGTGGCTAGATGGCCTCCAGGGTCCTGTCCTGGTCTCAAATTCTTAGAAATCCTGGAGCAGGGAAAGTTAGGATGGATCCCGGGCCTCCTCCTGGCCCCTCTGAGCGCCCAGCCTGTCACCCTAGAGGCAGGAGAAAAAGAGGATCGCTCACCGACCATATTGGTCCCCTAACATCTGCTCCTCCATTGCCTTGTCATTGGACAGGCATCAGCCTGAGCAGGAGCTCAGTGTCTGTCACCTTGGGTGGTCCTAGGAGGAGACCAAGAGAAAGATCAGGACATGTGCCCTATGCCTGATGCCGAGGGACCGCTGAGGGAGACCCACACCCAGGCTCAGGGAGGCATGGAGGCAAAGAGGCCTGGAAATGGGTGTTGGAGGTGCCCATGGCCACCAGGGCTAGTTGACACGGCATCCTATGTGGACACGTTATTGAATGAGTGAATGATGAGTGAGCTGGGAAAAGCTTATAAAGTGAAATTGTGGGGCTCCAATCAGGGACACAAAGGCTTCTTGGGTGAGGAAAGTTAGGAGCTGCTCTAGGACTTGCCTCACTGGGAAGAATCGCCTTAGTGCAGTCTCAGAGGTAGGGGAGGGGAGGGCTTGGGAGAGGAGGCAGGGGGAGGGTGTTGTAGTGTACCCCGCGAATCACACAAGGACACCTCAAGGAGTCAAATTAAGGAGCCACATTTATTTCAAAGCCGGGACTAGGAGGGGGCAAATGCTCTCCAAATCTCGTAGTACCTGAGTGAGGGCAGTAGCCATCTTATCAAGGCAAAACCCACATCCTGCTAGACACCGGAATGTGGAATTATCTTGTGAAAGCAGTTTTACAGAAGCAGAATTGAGCAAAGTTAACCATCTTTAAAGGTTATGCATAGTTTCAGCTCCTGGAGCCACTGAGTCACCAGAAAGTATTCCCGGAGCCACTGAGTTAAGGAAAGCAATTTTGTGGGTCTGGTCCTCAGACACAGGAGAACAGCCTTTGGGATGTGGGCTGGCAACAGAATGGGGTGACTTATGTGAGTTTCCAGGTCTCAATCTGGAAACTGAGGCAGCTACCCTCTTGTTTAGGCAAGCAGGTGTACAGAAGCCAGAGCAGCAGGGTTAAAGTTCAAACAGCCGTTCTTACCCGAGATGAATGCTACTGTGCTTTATTGCTTCAAGGGGAGCATGTAGGGCCGGAGGGTGAGGACTGGGGGAAAAGGCTCTAAGCCAGGGGGGCCACCAAAGGGGTGGAGCTTATGCAGGGGGCAGGGAGTCTGCTCTGGTGGCACTGAGAGCTTGGCGGCTCAGGCTGATGGATGGGCTTAGAACCTTGAGCCTGTGATCAGCTTAGGCATCAGAGATTCGGGCTTGCAACCATCTGCTTTGTCCAAAGACGTTCCGCTGAAGAGAAGCTGGGAGGCTCGAACACCATCCTGTCTGGGTTGGGCACAAGCGACTCAAAGTGCAGGCTCTTTCTTGGCAGGTGAGAGGGGCTGAGGCTGTCGTGGGCTGGGATCTAGTCTTGGAATTGTTGAAGTCAGGCACCTGACAGGCCTTTCTGATAACTGTGTAATGATGATGGCGATGATGATAGAAATAATAATCAATGTATTGTGTTCGTTATGTGCCAGGCAATGTATTAAAATATTTTAAAGGCATTATTTGTTAGTGCTCACAATACTCGTATAAGGTAGGTACTATTATTATACCCATTTTGCAGAAGGGGAAACTAAGGCTCAGGGAGGTTGAGTGACTTGCCTAAGGCCTCGTAGCTTGGAAGCAGCAGAGCTGGGATCAGAGCTGGAGTCTAACAGGCTCCAGAGCTCTTCTCCTAACCACTAGGGTTCCCTCTCCCCTGACAGGACCTGGAGTTCCTTAAAACTTCTACCTGCGTAGTATGTGCAACAATACTTTGCTCCCCAAATCTCCCTCACAGGAAAAGACTCTTTTTTTAAAATTTTACTTCAGAGAGGAAGGGAAAGGGAGAGAGAGATAGAAATATCAATGATGAGAGAGAATCATTGATTGGCTGCCCTCGGCACACACCACACTGGGGATCGAGTCTGCAACCCAGGTATGTGCCCTTGACTGGAGTCAAACCTGGGACCCTTCAGTCCGCAGGCCGCTGCTCTGTCCACTGAGCCAAACCAGCTAGGGAGGAAAGAAACTCTTTTTCTCTCCCTTCCCCATGCTCTGACTCCTGTTTCCTCCATAGACAGGTCCTTACCTGAGGACAGAGTGTGCCTCCCCCACCAGATTGGGGTCATCCTTTCACCCTGAGCCTAGACTCATGCTAGAGGTGGGGTGGGGAGGATGCAGTGAAGAAATGGTGAGCAATGAGGGGCCTGAACTGGGGGACATGGCAGGGAAGAGGGTAGAAGTTGAGGTGCAGGCAGTACAGAGGAGGGAGTTGGGGGAGCCCAGGGGATTTGCAATTCTGGCTGCAAAATCCTTTCCAGGACCAGGTCTCTCCGGGGCGGGATGGCCCCGGAGCTGGGCGAGAAGGAGCTACTGAGGATGGAGGTGGAGCAGCTGAAGAAGGAAGTGAAGAACCCAAGAGCTCCGGTGAGTCTCCTCTTCCCTGCCCTGCTCCCTCTTCTCCATCCCTCCTAGTTCTCATGGAGCTGGAACTCGAAGGAGGAAGTGATGGACAGTGGGGTGGTGGGCCCTCTCTAGGGCAGTAGAAGGAGCAGGAGGTGCCTCTGGGATGGGGTAAGGAGGCTGGGGTTGGACCCCATGGAGATGCACAGGACAGACCCTCAGCGCCTGCCCAGCCCTGGCTCTGGGGCAGCATCCCTTGCAGGTAAGTCAGGCTTTGTGGTTCTGGACAAGGACCTGCCACCCCTCTCACACCTGCCTGTCCCTCTCATCGTTCTCCTCTCTGGCCTCTGTCTCCACCCCGTCCAGAGCCGATTTGGGGGGGGACTGACCGAGTCATGGATCGGGAGCAATAAACAAGGTTGGGACCTTGCTTTGCTTTCTCCCAGATTTCCAAGACAGGAAAGGAAATCAAGGATTATGTGGAGGCCCACGCAGGAAACGACCCTCTTCTCCAAGGCATCTGTGAGGACAAAAACCCCTTCAAGGAGAAAGGCACTTGTGTGATTAACTGATGGTCCCAGAGCCCCTCGCCCTGACCTCCTGTCCCTCCTCAGCCCCTCTCCTCCCCCAGAACCTGTCCTGGGACGCCCAGAGAGTCAGTGAATTTCCACCTTCTCTCAGCCACAGAAGAGGAAAGAGACAGACCTGCTTCGGGTGGTCCGGGCGCTTTGCTCTCTGTGGGTGGCTTTGGTCAGGGACAACGTTCTGCAGGCGCCATCTTCTGGAAAATGCTGCTCTTGGGGGCAGTTCCTTCAAGGGAACTGCTGTTGGGCAGGATGAGAGGTTCTACCCTGAGCTACTGGGGCTGGAACAGAGGGAAATGTGGAGGGGGTTTCAGAGGCTGGAGCAAGGGGAGCGGGGGGGAGGACAGGAGGGGTGGTGGCGAGCTCATTAGTATTTTACTAAATGTGAGTTAAGTACCATTAGTGAGTTATGAAATCAATTCAGTAGATTGTAACCAACTTTTAAAAAGGGAAAAAATGTGAGTGTACAGTACTTTTACATGTAGTAAAGGTGAATACTGTTTCTTAAACTTTTAAAAAATATATTTTTTATTGATTACAGAGAAGAAGGGAGAGGAAGAGAGAGATAGAAACATCAACGATGAGAGGGAATCACTGATCGGCTGCCTCCTGCACGCCCCACACTGGGGATCAAGCCCGCAACCCAGGCATGTGCCCTGACCAGAAATCAAACCGTGACCTCCTGGTTCATAGGCCCACGCTCAACCCCTGAGCCACACCGGTCAGTTTATTTCTTAAACTTTTGTTTCAGTTTTGTGTATGTGTGTACTGGATTGTGATGTAAACAGGTGTCTTACCGAGGATCTGGGTAGAAACAAATGAACAAACAAACAAAAATGGTGAAAGCCACTGGGTAAATGATGAGAAAGGTCCTGAGTGGGCGTGAGTAAAAGCCTGCGTGTGCGTGAGGATTCACAGCAGAATCAAACCTCAGAGCAGAAGGCAAGGCCACTTCTGTGGAGCCCCCACCTTCCGCTTCCGTGCAGAAATCTTCCTACACCCCCAAGTAGCAACGACCGTGGAGACCCCCCAGGAGGCTTCCAGGCATCAGAAGCTCAGAATTTCTCAAGCCTGTTCTGCTGATGGGCAGCTCAAATGGTTAGAAAGTTCTTCCTGTCTGCCTCTCTGACATCCGCCCGCGAGTTCTCCCGGCCTCTGTGGCAGCCCTCCAGGTGTTTTCTTCCCCAGGGAAACGTGTTCTTTTCTCAAGAGTCTGAGCTTCCTTAGTCTCCAGCCTCTCGGTTGTCTTTCTAGCAGGTACCAATACTGAGCCAACCGTGGATCGGACGCAGAGAAAAGGACTTTTCAATGACCGTTTTACTGATTCTTGCAACACCGCTATTCAAAAGGCGCCATAACTGTCCTTTCACAGCTAAGGCTCGGAATATCTATTTTTAATTTTTTCTAGCCTTATTGAGATATAATTGACATATGACTGTATAAATTACAATGATTACCATGACAAGTTGAGTTAACACATCCATGACCTCACATGGAAAAACGTTACAACTTCTGAACATTTAACTTTCGTACCCAACTGCACCCAGAAGTTAGTGGCTGGATGAAATTTATCAGTGTCTCTGTGTGATGCCTGGAATGGGACCTGATCCTCCAAATGCATCAGGTTGGCTCAGAGTAAAGGATCTTTATCCTGAGTCCCTCTCTGTGGCTTACCTTTTTTGTTTTTTATTTATCCATTTTATTTATTTATTTAGTTAGTTAGTTAATCCTCACCAGAGGATATTTTTCCATTGATTTTTTAGAGAGAATGGAAGGGAGGAGGAAAGACAGAGAAACATCGATGTGGGAGAAACACATGGGTTGGTTGCCTCCTGTACTTGCCCTGACCATGGCCTGGGATTGACCCTGCAACCTAGGTACATGCCCTTGAATGAAATCGAACCCACGACCCTTCAGTCTGTGGGCCAACGCTGTATCCACTGAGCCAAATTGGCTAGGGCCTATGGCTTACCTTTTCACTTTCTTATTGGAGTCTTTGATAAGATCATAGAATATTATATTAATTCTAGAGGTCTGGTGCACGAACTCGTGCATGGGTGGGGTCCCTCGGCCTGGTAGGTGATCGGGGCCATCTCACCCAGTCCCCATTGGGGCTGACCAGCCAGCCAGGCAGCTGGCCTGGGAGAGGGACTGAAGGAGGTTGGTTGGCTGCAGGAGGTTGGCTGTGGGAGTGCACTGACCACCAGGGGGCAGCTCCTGCATTGAGTGTCTGCCCCCTGGTGGTCAGTGCACACCACAGTGACCATAGGTTGTAATGGTTGCTTGGCTTTTATATATACAGATGATGACATATATCAAAATTTTAGAATCTTCTGTGTCAAGATTTTCCCTGCTCTGGCGTCATGAAAAGATTCTCCTATATTGTTTTCCAAAAGCTTTATTCTTTTCCTTTCAAAGGTCTACAGTTCACACAGAAGGTATTGCTCTGCTTAGTGTAAGTTGGGAAGAATTTGATTTCATATTTTTCCATATGACACCCATTGTCCCAGAATAATGTATTGAAAAGTCGGTCCTTTTCCCCACTTCCCTTTGTCATATATCACTTGTCCAAGTATGTGCGGGGCTGCATCTCTCTTCTGTTCCATTGGTATGTTTGCACCAGTAACCTTGCACCAATATCACACTATCTCAATCCCTATAGTTTATAGTTGACAATAAGCTTTAATATCTGAGAGAGCAAGTTCTCCCACCTTATGCCTATGTACTTTTGAGGCTGAGATGGCTCATACACACAAATCCATTTGAATCTTTAAGGAGTGCGTGGGGTGGGATGGGGTGGGGTGCAGAGAGGCAGCTCACGGGAGAGGTTCGGAGCAGTGCCAGGATCCTCTCTGTTACCATGGCATTTTCCCAAGGGGCGAGAATGTATAACCACAGTGCCAATCACCCTGCAGGGAGATCACACGTGCGTCATCGGCCCTTGTCACTTATCCCCGAGGGACAGACAGCTCTCAAAACCCAGATACCAATCCAAAGAAAACAACACGACATGCACGTCTTTCCCCTGCCCTCCCAGAAGTGCACACTTTCCTGCAAATCACCTGGGCCTGGTCAGCACCGAAAACCTGGATCCAGGACAGACTTGTCAATAGATCTCGCTCAATCCTGTTGGTAAACCCTGTAGAGATCCCTACCCGCCTCTCGGGAGAAATCATGCATGGAAAAATAAGATAAGAAACAGACAGCAGAGATGCTCCGGCCCGCTGGGACAGACTGAAGAACCGGTACGCTAAGGAAGGAGTTTTTGTTGTTTGTTTGTTTTCCTGATTGAAAGACACAGAGTGTGTGATATAGGAACTATAGTCAACAATATTGTAATAACTGTATGGTGCCACTTGGGTACCGGGAAAACCAGGAGGAAGGAACACCTGTAACGTATATGACTGCTCTAAACACTATGCTCTACCCGAAACTAATACAAAATAAAATGGAATGTAAACTGTAATTGAAAAAAGAATTATTATTTTTTTTAAGAATCTAAAAGAAAACGACAGAAAACCTCACTGTCCACTGCCTGAATAACAGACAACCAAAACAGACACACACACACTTCAGTATCGGACCGATTCACAGCCGGACGGACGCCCAAACCCTCGCCTCCCTCCCCAGCCCGGCGTTCCTTCCCGCGCCCCTCGGCTTGGCGGCGCCCGTTCGCCCGGCGGGACCCGTTGGCCCCGGTTTATACAACAGAAATGCATCGCACTCTGCACACTGGCCAATAGGAAGAAGGAGCCCCGGCAGCTTTTGGGGAGAAGGGGGGTCTCCCAGTCCCGAAACTGCCGCTGCAGCCCACCCGCAGCAGGACCCCCGGACGGGTCAGGTCCCTCCGCTGTGCCCTCCCGGGTTAAGTAACCGTGTGTCGGTCTCCCGGGGACAGACATTGACTTTTCCGCCCCGACTCTCACGCATGCGCACTGGGACCCTCAGGCAAGCGCTGAAAAGAAAACATCTTGAGAGAAGGGGAGGGACCCTAAACTGCGGCCGGGCAGGTCACCGGGGGCACGGCGCAGCCCGAGCTGGCCGCGGCCGCCAGCAGCCCCCCAAAACGGGAGTTGGAGAACCAAAAGGTTCTGAGAGGTCCCACCGAGATTTGAACTCGGATCGCTGGATTCAAAGTCCAGAGTGCTAACCATTACACCATGGGACCCGCTGGCTGCTCTAGGCGGCCATGAGTCTTCTCAAACCATATAACTGGGGGACGAACAGTCTTCCCAGAACGGCGGCCAATGTCGGGTTCACCTGGCGTGCGCGCTGGGCCCGAGGTCGCAGGGGCGAGCGGGAGCGAAGCAGTGGGGGCCTCGGCGTCCCGGACGTTCCGGCCCCGGGGTATCCTGTCTAGCCGCCACTCTCCCTGCTGTCCTCGGGGTCCTGGCCGGCGTCCGGGGGAAGTCGGAGGGCGGGGAGCCGGCGGGGGCGCTCTCGGGGCGGAGGTGGGATGGGGGGTGGGGGCCCTGGATGCTGGGCGGGGTGGAGGCCGGGCAGGCGGCTCCTGCTCCCAGCTCCCCAGCGGGAAGCTCCGCGCCGCCTCCTGGGCTTCCTGCTTGTTTGCTTTCCTTATTTACACACGTGTGTCTTGCAGGGAATATTTTGGCTGAGCGCGGAGGGACCACAGTTCCAGGCCCCAGCGCGCCAGGCGCGCATTTTGGAGCAGGGGGTGCACCCCAACTGGTGCCTGGAGCTCCACGCGGCTGGACCCAGCTGAGTTCTGCACGGAGGGTTTCACTTCCAGTTCCGGGTGTAGCTTGTAAAGGTACCTGGTAGGTGTTTCCTTTTAACCTGCAGGTCACCATCCGCTCAGTGAAAGAGACGGTCCCCCTTGGGCTTTTGAAACTAAGTTTTACTAAGAGCAGAACTGGGTACTGTTCCTTCAGGCCAGTCGGGCGGCAGATAAAATTTTGTATGCCGTTCGATCCAGCCGTTTTCGTTTTGGAACTTTATCCACGGAGCTACTGGGACAAGCGCCAAGTGTGCAGGACGGTCTCAGCTGTGTTGTTTATAACAATAAAGAACAGAAGGGAAATGTCCTTTAAGTGAAAATTGATTAAATAAATATCGACTATCAGTACAATAAATACTGTGCAGGAATTTAAGGCATAGGTTATTGTATTATCATGAAAAAAAGACACAGGCCTAAATAAACCAAACAAAAACTAATCTACTTACCAATTAGTACCCTATACAATAAAGAGCTAATATGCTAATTAGACCAAACAGCAGACCAACTGTCCAGACGACCTTCCAGACCAAGCCGGGGCTGCGAGGGGCAGAGCCCCTTGCATGAATTTCTTGCTCCGGGCCTTCTAGTGTATAATAAAATCTCACGTATACAAACAGAAAAGCTGTATACCTATGTCATAAACAGTTGCCATTTATTTGCTCTGTGACCTCTGACTCCCTTTCTTGAAGGATCCAACATTGTGGGTCTGGGTGACACCAGGGCTGTCCCCCAAGACAGATGTATTCTCCAGGCTTCTGGTAACCAGAGTGAACATGTGTGTCCTTAGCTGGCCAACGGGACTTAGAATCCCAGAAGCAGGGATGCTTTATAACTTGTCCTAAAACAAGTGGAGGGTCACAGGACCAGTGATGGCAGCCATTCCATGTCCACTGGCAGCAGAAGTGGCGTCCTAACCGGACTGTCTGGGATCCTGACCTTGGCTGGGTTCCTGGTTGCCCGGTTCCCCTTCCTTCTTGCCCATTTTCCTGACTTTGCTTTCCCTGTGAATTATCTGGCCACTGTCCAATGAACCCCTTCTCTGCTTAAGGTACGCAGAGTCTATTTCTGTTTCATACAGTCCAGAACCTTCTTAGCCCAGATTGGAAAAGGCTTGTTGATGACAGTTATCTCAGGGGAGTACATTTTTGAGGGCCTATTTTTCTGCACTGCTTGAAAAAAATTGTTCTAACGCTTGTATATTGTCAAGAGAAACATTACCAATTTTCCATTTTGAGGACGGAACCAAACTCCCCTTGAGCTCGTTTGGTGAGATAAAGGGGTCCCTCTATTAAGGCTGGAGTGACTTCATATGGAATTGATTTAATGTTAAATGACTTTAGTGTCCCTGGGCCTCAGCTTTCCCATCTGTTTCCTTCCTACAGGGGCTCTGTGAGTGTGTGAGTGTATTGCAATTAAATTTTCAAAAGCTACTGTAGAAACCTAAAGGGTGATGATTACAGCCTTTGAAAGAGTATAGGAGAGAGTTCCTCCTGTCTAGTACAAGGATAAAGGAGTGGCTTCCTCTTCCCACTTCTCCGGACTCCCACTCCCTAGCTCTTCTTTTGCAGTTCCCACCTCCCTCTTTCTCCGCCTCAGAAAAATCTTACCAAGTGAGACCCTGCTGAAACCCCTCTACTCATGCATTCCTCAAGTGCATGAAAGGATCCTCTCCCTCACAGCTTTTGTCGTTACTCGCTGGAATCATAGGTCACGGTGTTCTATGGTTCGGTCTCTCCCATCTTTCCGCCCCTCCTGGGCTAGGCTGTGAGCGCTTTGGGGGCCAGGGCCCAGGACGGACTGCTCGTTGAATGTGACTAGCGCCTTACCAAACACTTCACTACACCCCTCTGGAGGGCCCGGGAGACCTTAGGAGGGAGAAACAACTTTACAGTTTTGTGTTCAGAGACCAGAGAAAACAGAGATAATATGCAATCTCCTTGTCCCAGCAGGACTGGTTTCTTTTAACATAAATCCACGGTGCACAACATCCCAAAGAAGTCTTTGACATCTTTGAGAACAGACTCCACAATAAGCCTCCACAAGGTGGCCTCTGCAGCGTGGGGGATCAGGTGTGGTGAGGGTCAGTGGGGTTCGATCTGAGGGCTGACCTTCGGCAGAGTGCACCCCAGAAAGTACAGTGAGGCCAGGGGTTCAGAAAAGAGGGCGAAAGTCCAGGATACGAGACTTTTAAGATATTCTCCCACATTTTTTGTGAGCCTGAGTAAATGGATAATGAATGGGGTAACGGGTACAATGATGCTTTGAGTACAGTAGTTAACATAAAAAATATTCATATTCACTATCAAGGCTAGGTTCATCGATTTCCTTTATCCATGCAGAGGCCCCTCACAGTGAGCTGGGATGGAATCTGCCTTGCTCGGCACCCTCACCACCCGGGTTAGGTGATATCTGCCACAAATCCCCGCTTTGCCTTGGCAGCTCTGGCATTCCCCAGGAAAATCTGGTGGGGGAATCTGGCCACTTACTTTTTAAAAAGCAGCATCCACATTTTATCTTTTTTCTTGAGTGTTTTCACTATATTTTTAAAAATGAATTATTTTATATTTTCAGATTATAAAGATAAGACATTTATGATGGAAAATGTAGAAAGTACAGTAAAGCACAGAGAAGATTTAAAAATAACCACAGCCTGGCCAGTTTGGCTCAGTGGACTGAAGGGTCCCAGGTTTGATTCTGGTCAAGGGCACATGCCCAGGTTGTGGGCTCAATCTCCAGTGAGGGGCGTGCAAGAGACAGCCGATCCATGATTCTTTCTCATCATTGATGTTCCTATCTCTCTCTCCCTTCCTCTCTGAAATCAATAAAAATATATTTTAAAAAATAAAATTAAGCCGAAACCGGTTTGGCTCAATGGATAGAGCGTCAGCCTGCGGACTGAATGGTCCCAGGTTCGATTCCGGTCAGGGGCATGTACCTGGGTTGCGGGCATATCCCCAGTGGGAGATGTGCAGGAGGCGGCTGATCGATGTTTCTCTCCCATCGATGTTTCTAACTCTCTATCTCTCTCCCTTCCTCTCTGTAAAAAATCAACAAAATATATTTTAAAAAAATTAAATTAAATTAAAATAACCACAGTCCCAACAAGCACTTTTAACATTTGATGTGTTTCATTTCCTTTTTAAAAACTGCATTTTTTTTTTTATGCCCTGACCGGTGTGGCTCAGTGGATAGAGCGTCGGCCTGCGGACTGAAGGGTCCCAGGTTCGATTCCGGTCAAGGGCATGTACTTGGTTGCGGGCACATCCCCAGAAGGGGGTGTGCAGGAGGCAGCTGATGGATGTTTCTCTCTCTCGATGTTTCTAACTCTCTATCCCTCTCCCTTCCTCTCTGTAAAAAATCAATAAAATATATTAAAAAAAAACAAAAACAAAAAAAAAAACTGCATTTTTAGAGATCAACCAAAGGACTTATATGTAAGCATATAGGCCTAAACAATGGACACAGACAACAGGGGAGTGAGGGCAGGAGCGGGGGGGGGTGAGGGTGGGGATAGGGGGTAACGTGGGGATAAGGACACATATGTAATAACTTAATAAAAAAATTTTAAAAATATAAAAAACAAAAAAATGCATTTTTACATAGTCAGTCTCCCTGTATATATATATATTTAAAAGCAGGTAGAATATGATTTTGCTGAGAGTGGTTTTCAGTCCGAATTTACTGGAAGTCCTATCATTGGGAGCCTTGCAGGGCTGGAAAAGCTGAATTCTCTGCCCCAAGAGAAAGCACCAGCAGACACAGGAGACTTAGCCAGAGATCAGTTTGAGCAAAAAGACCAGCCTACAACATTGCAAAGCTGTAAACATTTTCTAAAAAAAAAAGCACTTTCTGCCCACGATGAGGAAAAACGTGGGGGCAAAAACAGATTATAGACGGTCTCTCTGTACCTTAGACGCCAATTTTGAATAGCCTCCAGGCAGAGGCAGCTTAACCGAATGCCAGAGAATAGGCAGAGGCCTGCGGTTACCAGAATGGATTTCCCAGTCTCAGAGACTATGTCTAGACAAGATGTCTGAAATTGACTGGAATTATCAGAAACCCTGTAAGTTCTTGAGGTCTCATTGGCAACTCAGTTTCTTTAAAAATCTGACTGATAATAGCCAGTGAGTCTTAACTCCTGTGGCCATCCCCAGACCTGTGACTGCTACCCGACTCAAGGGGTTCGCCACTTAAGTGTTCTGGTCAAGAAAGAGACGTAATTGTCATTAGGTAGTTCTGGAGATGGGATTCATATCCAAAGCTCTGTCTCCCAGAAGGGAGGCTTAGCCATTGCTTATATATACATACACTATCTGGTTAATATTAATGTTGATTTCTTCTGTGCAGTTGGCTAAACCTATCTGGTTGGATTTGGGTCAAGTTCATGGGGTTACAGCTGCATCTGCAAAATACCGTGCTACATTTTAACATTTAGCAAGAATTGCACTTAGTAAGAACTGCTCAGACCTTGAGACCTTTGTCCTATCTAACATTATCTTATATAATAAAAGGCTAATATGCAAATCGACCAAACAGCAGAACAACCGGTAGTTATGATGCGCACTGACCACCAGGGGGCAGGCGCTCAATGCAGAAGCTGCCCCCTGGTGGTCAGTGTTCTCCCACAAGGGAAGCGCTGCTCAGCCAGAAGCCCTGAGCCGGGCTCACAGCTGGCGAGGGCAGTGGCAGTGATGGGAGCCT